ATTCATGAGAAAGGCAAAGCGCTGCAAAAAATATAGTTCTTAGTAGTGCCATTAAGGAGTGGTGCCATGAGGAGCAAGTATTTTTCTAAAATGCGTTTTGTGTAACTATTTGTACATAGTATGTATGTATATGTGCACATGAATATGTATTTATGCATACATGCAAAAGCACATACGGGTGCGTTATTCTGTATGCAAATTAATCTTTTGATATTTTGTTGTTGATCTGAAATTGCTGTTTGTTGATCGTTACCTTGCGCTATTTGTTGAGTTATATCGAGCTCTTAGTACGAAAATCGCGGAACCAGCGTGATGTGGGATTCAGCGGAGGAGTAATCGACAATGATGACAATTTGTCATCTAAAATAAAACTCCATACAAGTTTGTGAAAAGAAGAGACGAAAAATAAGGTGGTTTAAGTGAAACAAAACTAAAGGATGTAGTGTTTTGCTCTGCTGCATTGCGATAGCCTTAAAAGGTTTTTCTTTTTGCTTTAATAAATGCTCATGTTTGAGGCCAACGTGATTGGAGTGAATGCTGCTTGTGATTACTACAAAGAAAACTTCAAAGGAAGTGCATAAAATATTACGATGCAATTGAAGTAAAATGCAGTGAAGCGGATTCAAAGTGGTTGTGTCAATATCTTTTACCCATAAATAATTCTTAATACTATTGCGTTTATTTGCATTTCATAGCTGCAAGGATAACAATTGAAAGCTGCAGAAACCTGTTCTGAATGTGTGCAAATGAAGTGAAGAAAATATATACAATATGTGCATTGTATGTGGGAAAGAATTCAATGAATAGAAAATAAATACATATACATTCAAAGAATGTAGTAAAAAGAGTGAGTAATTAATGAAAAATAAGCAAACTAAGAAGCGTCTTATTACTTTTGAATTGAGAGCGATATGACAATACGCGAGCCACTGTTAGAAGACCAATAAGAATACCAATATATAGAATAAATTTGTTATAACCAGCGGCAAACATAAAAAAATTAAAATCAACTGCAACCTGCTGAACTAAAGTATCAACAACAACTAAACTACATTGCGGCATTGTCTTCTGTTTCTATGTAAGTATTTAAATATTTCGCAAAAAAATAAAACTGTAATCACAAGTAATTAAAGGCGCAGGATAATAGGATAGACACAAAAACGGAAATGCATATATGTATGTTTACCTAAATATGTCTTCGGTTATGCCCGTTTGTGTATATGAAGTGTCCTGAATCGCGCATTTTGCATGCATGCAAGCGCACATTTTTTGTTTGTGAGCTCCTATATATTCCTGCAGGAAATATATCTAACTACATATAAGTTAGCTCGAAGTTGATTAGGAAGGAACTAAAGTTATTGAAATCCCACAATTAGATTATTTTTATCAATTGACAATTTTTTTCTACAGGGATGTGGAAATGTTTGTATATAGCTACGTTAGACCGGGGTGCTCGCATTTGCAATAAAACTTTTTTAACGGACTTCCAAACAAAAGGAGTAGGTTAACAGTTCGTCGGAATGTTTTTTTTTTTGGACCACGTCAACCGATTTCGATATTTCTTCTTGCATCGGAAGGTAGTGTCTCAGAGGTGGTCCCATACTAATCTGGTTTAGATCCGATCATTGGATATAAATAAAGTAATAATAACAATATTTTGGTGCGCGCACTAATGCTATACCAACCACAAATGGAGGTAACTACAATTTTACGCCGTCTCCGAACGGAAAATGGATTTATGACAAATTTTTTAAGGCAGAAATATATACCGCACTTTGAAATCGACTTAATAATGAAAGACAGGTATGGAGACATCTTATATTTGGCGGTTTTTTTGTGACTCAATATGTACGAAAATTTGTATGACAAACTTTTTTTGCGACCCCGTCTAATTTACATACATACATATATACCCATATCTGTAAGCGTATTAGTGGGAAAAAGTTCAAAAGGGCGTGTGACGCCTTTGCTAATGACGAGATTGTGTGTTTTGACTCGGTTTTTGTACAGCAGTTTTTGTATTTTTTTACGCTTTGAGCGCTGCTTTTTCAGGGTTTTCAAGCTACTTAACCACATACGCACATTTGTACATACATAGATACATATCTACATTAATTTCTCCTTATATAAATACATTAGTATGTATACGTTTTCTTATAACATAAATTGTAACTATTCTAAAGGACATACATGTTTACAAACACATATAAATAAAAACTTGTTTATATGAAAAAAAAACCGTCTTGTGAGCGATTTTCTTCGCTTCATAAGTGTACGTACTAATGTACTTCGTAAAAAAAAAAACAAAATACTCTCATACCGAGGCAATATAAGCCCATACGTCAGTGCAAAAATCTAGCAACTAAGATTACAACAACTATTATTAGAAACAGCTGTCGAATTGGCAACAGCCAAAAACAAAAAGTGCACAGGCAGCTACATATTTTGTTCGTAGACTGTAGGGAGTCCTCGAAAGTGTTAAAAGAAGTATTTAGGCTGCATTTCTTTATTCATTCTGACCGTTTGGAACACTTTCTTAATAAATTTGTTTCATTCCAGAAGCATCGATGCATTCTTTGCAGGGCCCAATAACACTGGATTGCAGCAAAAATATAAAATTCCTCGGTGATTCCGAAAATCGAGATCATTTTTTTGATAACTTTCGAGATATATGCAATTTACCGTTACTCAGCTTTAAAAAATAGTGGCTCACTTAATCACGTATATCTAACGAAACAATTGAATAATCATAATACAAGATACGGGAAATGAAAGCAAATGAAATTCACCATAAACTGTATATATACCACTTTTTGATAGCCCTGATAGTTTCTGAGAAATTAATTAATCATTTCTGGCACCTCTTGTTTTCGATGCTAACACTCAACCTACTCAAATGTACGTGGCGTATGAGTAACACTTTTTTCTGCTGATATTTCATACAAAAAATCTTTGCGCATTTTCATTTGACCAATCATTATTTTGTTATTTATTTATCGATTTTCTTCATTATGAGCTTAGTTTTTTTCTAAACGAACGGGCTTTAACACAAGTGCAAATTATTTACACAGACACTGTTATTTTTTGACTTTTTTCCCTGTTAAAGTTTGAATTTTTTGCATTTTTCCATCAAACAAACATAAAATCTGGAATGATTAATTAATTTCTCAGAAACTATCAGGGCTATCGAAAAGTGATCTATATACAGTGTAATCAGTTTCCGCTCCTGAGTTAAGCAAACGTTCCAAAGGCTGGTTTTTAACCACTTTTTTTTAAGATCACATGCAAATACATACATTTTGCCAATTAAGAATTTGTGTGAAAATAAATTCAAAATATTTGACAGTTGAGAGACTAAATAATTTGAAAAGAAAAATCAAAACAGCTGTTCTGCTGATACTACCTGCTTAATATTATGACGTGGTACAGACATATTTTTAAGTATTTTGCAAAGCCTAGAATACAAAATTTTGAGTGTTTAAAGCATAAATAGCAAAACTCCATATGAATCAGAAGGATTTGATGTTGATTAAAGATTTCGAATTATTTTGGGTTTATCGAACTTTCAGTTATCTTTTTTGGATTTGACAAGAAATAAAACAAGCTCCTTAATCCTTTTGGAGACGTCTCATTTTCGCAAAAAGTGCACTTTTCAATCTAAGCTAGCGAAATTTTGATTTCCTTCCTCATTTGTAAAATAAAATAAATCATCTTGGTTCACTGAACTTCACTTCACTGAAGGCACTGAGTAAACTTCGGATGTGTATGCATTTTTATCATCACTAGCCATCATGAAAAAATAGCAAGATGACCAGTTTTAATTATATTTTCCACGCTTAATACGTGCAGTGGCGAAAATATAAATAGGGACGAAACAGTCTAGCATTCTTTGGCTATCGTTTATTTAATATTTTTTATTTGTTATGAAAGTGTGTTATCTAAAAAAAACATATATCCGAATTTTCAATAATTTTAAACCTTGTACAAAAAATAGGAAAATCAAAGTCAATGTTTCATAATTCGTCAAGTTTTTATAAATATTCTATAAAGTTTGAAATTTTGATTTAAATAGTTTTTTTTAGACAGTAACTATATTTGGATTAAAACATAAACATAAATAAAACATTTTTTAAACCATGAAAAGTAGCCAACATTTGTTAAACTGTCTTTTCCGCTATTTACATTTTCGCCATCGTACATACTTTTCTTAAAAATTGTTATTAAATGCCTACAATATGTATCCCTACCAGTTTTTATTTTTAAATCATTCAACACCTACAAAGTCGTGAAAGCATTTGTACGAAGAATTTCCAAGAGCTTGAGAACTTAGTCATTATGTCAGTTGCATGACATAAACAACTTGTCGCCGTGGCACATTACCGCCATGGGCATCACTTCAGTGTCCCTTATGCTAGGCACTAACAGCGAACAAATCCGACGGATTTGTTAGTGTTCGATGTCATTTTTCTCGTTAGTGGCATGGTGCGCGAACAAATTTGACGGATTTGAAAATTTTCAAACTCTTCTGATTTGTTCGATCGTTAGTGGCAAAGTTCGCGAACATTAACCCATGACATCATATCAGTCTACATTTAACCCATTTCGTCATATCAGGTTATTTTGAACCATTGAAGTGAGCACATGGCGGGAAATTGCAAGAAAGCGATTTTTAGGAGACTTTTTTTGAACCTTTGAAGGGAGAAGTCGCAATTGGGTAAAGTAAAATTGAAAAATATAAAGATAGGAATAACAAAAAAAATTATGGAAAAAACTGATGGAGAAGTAGAGGGAAGTAGACAAACCTACAATAGAAATTGTAAAAAAATATCAGTGCATACGAGCCCCTGCTACCGGCGGAAATTGCAAAAAATTCCTCACGTTGTGGTACTTTGAAAACTTAGAATTTTCGCGGGACCGTGAATTGCAGCTTGGAGGCTTTTCGACGATGGAAGATTCTGTGGAAGAATATATGAAACATTTAAATGTAGTTTGGCATTTTAAATATTAGTAATTTATTGTAAGAATTTTAGCTTTGGATATACACAGTTATTGCACCCTTTGCTATTGTTTATACTCCGTTTCCGCATTGTTAAGCTGTTTGCTACCCTGTTATACATCTACTAACATACATGTGTACATATGGATGTTTGCACAGTGGCGGATTTGAATATTTGTCACCGTTAGGCAATTCAGAATTTGCCGCCCTTTTTCCGATAGGAAAAATATTTTGAGGTAAAAGTACCAGTTTTGGAACGATTAGCAGTAAATAGTAATATTCAAATGTATGTTATTTACTATACTTTTATTACAATTTAAGATGAAAAGGTGGTATTTGCCTTGACTAAAGTTATTCAACTTTTAAAGAGAGCCATCTGCAAATCTTTTCCACTTGATAAGTTATAATCTCAAAAATACTAAATTAGTATTTTTAAATCACTTAAATAATATCAAAAATACCCAACAGCGTTGTTTTTTTGTTTCTGAGTAATTTAATCTCAAATTTATGTCTTAAAATGTACACAAACAAATTCTACTTTCAGCGCAGCTATCTTGACAAATAAAAAATTTTGAACTCAAAATCTTGCCGCCCTTCTTAAACTTTGCCGCCCTAGGCACCTGCCTATGTGCCTTTACGGTAAATTCGCCACTGTGTTTTTTCATGTACAGTACGAATGTATGTACTATACGTGTGTTCGCTTATTTTCCCCAGGCTCTTGATATCCCGACGCTTTGTATGCATTAAGCGGACAAAGATT